CAACCACACGTTAAAAAAATCAGCACCCGCGTCGACCTTCGACTTCAACTACTTAAGTCCTTCGTAAATACCACGACAGGTCCTGGGACACTTTTTACCATCTGAAGAAGTATACATACGGCTACGCTCGGCACTTGTTCAAGTCGACTCTGCTCCTTCTGATACTTCAATGATCCCATTTGCATGGCCTGCAGGGCATCCCGCCACACCTTTTTTTTACCCCCAACAAAAATAGTCCTTCCGCCCCCTCCCACTCCACCCCTACCAGCCCCTCCCTTTCAAGCTTCGACCTTCGACCTTCGACCCGCCTTCTCCAAAGCCTCGCGGCTCTTGAAGGTGAGGAAGGCCAGCTTCTTCGGCGTCTCCTGAGCCGAGAGTTACACATCCGCACTGCCTGGGACGAGCCGCTCGGCGCCTGGGAATGATGCAGGGAAGGAGGGAATGGAACCATCCAACTGGCGGCTTCCTTTCAGGGGGATTCCTTGGTTTGAGGGAATGACCAAATATAAACCATCCAGTTTTTTGTTTTTAAGGGGACCAAAGCCTGGGTTCGTTCCCACATTGCCCATCGCACCTTGTGGCTTTCTTTAAGGGGACCAAAGCGTGGGTTCATTCCCACATTCCCTACCGAGCAGCAACAGGGCAAAAGGACAAACATCCGTCGCTCAAACCGCGTTCCCATGATCCGGGTGAAAGATGGCACGACTCTCCCATGTTGGAAAATGTGCCCACATGAAAAAATGCTTGCGCACCCATCTTCTACTTTCGGTCCAAACATTGTTAAAGCAGGAATGGAGCTACCCGGACATAGCTGACAGCCTGTGGGGCATGGGACCGTTTGTTCCTCCACCCCCTTACCTAAATATGCGGCTTCTTGGTCTTGATGAGCCCTTTTCGGTCGAAAAGAAACAAACAATGCCGGAACCCGGTTTCTCCAACCCACCCATATCCTTTCCCAAAGCAGATGTTGCTGCTTCACAAGTTTGCCGACCTCCATAGATGGCCTGGCTGTCAGCTGAGCGGTTTGTAACCATGGTTGCCTGGGGCTTGTAAGTGATTCGCTGGGGCGGATTTGGGGGTGACTGACCACTTGGCTACCCTTTGTCCCCACCTCAAACATGCAGACACGATGGATTTCCTTTACCCATCGACTGCTTACGGACCCCTAAGATGGGTATGTGTCAAAATAAGGGAACTGCAAAACATGGCTTTCTTTTTGGTTTCCCTTGTCCATTTACACTCTCCTGAAAAAGTGCAAACATGATGACTCGCCTTTTCATGTCTTTTAACCCCACCAAACAAGTGCAAACATGATGGCTTGCCTTTTGGACTAAAGGCCGGGTACCCGCAAAAACAACAACACCCACCCACCCACCCGACCGCCCAGCCACACACCCACCCACATGGCCCCCGCTTTTTGCAACGAGGAGCGATGCTTGCGATCTCGCCGCAGGCTTCGAACTTCTTCCGGAGGATTGCCTTCGCCATTCGCAGATGTGCCAAATGGGTTGCGGTTTCTGGTTTGGGGGGCCAAGTTCTGATTTGTGGGTGCTCAAGTATCAATGGGTCCCCCAACATAGGTGGATTTGGTGCTCTGATAAGGAACCAGCGCCAAAAAGGGGCCCTTGTCCATTTTGCAATAGTTTGAGGTCCAGGTTCCCAAGAAGCAACACATTCGCCCAGCATCGGTGTCTTGAAACATGGAAGCCAGGGGGGTTTTGGAAGATCCCTCGCGGGAGGCCTAAGATCCGGGGGCTTCCTTCGGGTTCTCACACACCTCACTTGGGAACTGGACATGATTTACATGGGAACCTGGAGGGGCGGTTAGCAACAAGAACCCCTATCCAGGTTCAAGATAGCCTGGTAATCCCATGTAAATCAGATGGAGGGAATCTGGGAGTCTTGGACTATCTGTGCCAAGACTCGACCTCCCTCCGAGAAGGCTTTCTGCGATAGGCTGTCAAAGAAACCGAAGCAAAGCGGTTAGCAGGCTCACGAGCTCTGGCACAGAATTGTTGGGCGCCCTGACACCGGCCTTCTCTGTCGTTAAAGTTGACCACATCACTGCTGTTTCAAGGGTTTGCGGCTAAGGGAACCATTGCTCGTCCGAGAAGCAGGGCGGGTGTGTCGTCATTTTTCTCGGGGACCCAGAAAGAAAATGGAATTTGTCCTTTCGGTTTCCCTTTAAAAACCAACAAAGAGGGGGCACACTCCAAAAAAATTGGGCTCTCCTAAATGATCTTTGTGCAAACAATGCAGGCTCGAACAGCTTCCGCATGTTTTCCGCTATGCTTCGCTGCCCCTCACCCACTGTCGGGGATAATGTCGCAAACCGAAAAATGCAGAGGGTCACCCTACCCGAGAACATCTAGATGTTTTGGGGTTGGGGAAGAAGTTCTCTGAGGTAGAGTCTAAGCCACTTCTTTCCAAGGAGCCAACATTCGGCGAACTGCGCCCAAATCAGCCTGCCCCCTTTCAGAGCCCACACAGATAGAAGAACGACACTCGCCCGCTGCTCTCTGAGGTCACAAAAAAGCATCGCTTGCCAAGCTCCATCCAACAAGCCCACATTCTTCGCGGTGTTACTGGGGTATCCGGACATGTTCGGCCAAGATAGCAAGTCGTTGGCAACTTAGGACATGAAAGGGTGAATCACGGCAAATAATACCGAACAAACCAATCACGCTCATGCAAGAGACAGTGCAGCGGCAGCCACTGGAATTCGCCTGCATACGTCCGCAGGGGTCAAGACACTGGTAGCATTGGAAGAAAAAAAAACCGGACGCTCCACAACCCAAGACGCGGAGCATAGCAACCAACACGTGTCGCATGGTGTATCACGGGATCCCAGGAAGCCTCAAATCCCCGTGTTTGAACAACGCCCAATCCTGTCATCCCCGTCAAGTTTTGGGTTACGGATCCAAGTTCAAGCTGCTGCTGCATGGCGCACCCAGCTGACAGTGTTTCTTCCACATGAACCACTGCAGCTGTTGTTCAGTGTTGCAAGGGGTGTAGGGGAGGTAGGTCATGTCTCTTTTGAGAGTTCAAGGCCCTTTTCGGCTTCAACAGCTCCGAAGGCCGCATTGCTGATTCGAATCCATTCAACGACTTGTTGACCATCGGACGGTCCATTTCACATCGCTTCTTACAACTTATCGGGCCTCTGCCCTCACGGTCCCACGGCCCCTTTTCCAGCCTCCTCCTCCTGGCGGGACGGAAGCGTGCAGGCAGTTTGTTCCAGAAAGATCCAGCTCTGCAGTGCGCAGCATCTTCCCAGAGTCGAGCTGAGGTCACTGTGTCTTTAGTGGGTTCAATCCTGGCTTCTGACAAGAGATTGGCTGAATTGCCACATCCAACCCCATTATGTGCCAGATCTTCGTGCAGTCTTGAGTGTACATGGAATATGTTTGTGGTTTCCTCGACTTATCGACGTGCTAGGCAGCATCTGTCTGCTGCTCTTGTTTTTTTTTCAAAAGAAACCTATAAATCATCAGAATGAAGTTGTGGGTGGGGCACTTTAAAGCCAGATCTAGCCATGGTCGTAAAAGAATAATGTGTGAATTCTTCAGCCCCTTGTAGTGGTCAACAGGGCCCTGGCTTTGACGCATTCCCATATGCGCCAATTTTGCAAATTTATGAACATGGGCAAGTAAGCCACACGCATGTGCACTCCCGTTTCCGTTCCTCATGCCAACACTGTTCCCCCAGCACGGCCTATTCCGTTGTGACGTCCCTGAAGGCAGCTGTGCAAACGAGCTGTGTGGCATGCATCCTCGGCGGCTTTCTCGGGGGGGTCGGACAGGTAAAACCAAGCTGGACTAGGTCCTGTAGCGAGCTGCCGTGGCATGCACACAAACGCAGGTGAGTTCTAGTCAAAACCTGGTATCAAAATGGTCTCAGAACCATGTCAAGAATTAAGAAGGCGGAATTCCGCAGCTATTTTATGGTTGGGAGTGTCCCTTACTAACCTTCATCAATCCCCGGGTTTGATTGTGGCTCAGGTGCTGACTAGCTGTTGCTGCCTGGCTGTCTAGAGTCCTCGAGAAGGACTGCTGACAACATTGGATCATCATGCGTGCTTTCCCCGAAAGTGATCCGGATCCCCTCTAAATTGCAACACCCAGTCGCAATTGACCGCTTGCCCAAAGAACCTAAACGGTGAACACCTTTGCGGACCTCTACCAACAAGTCGGCAACGGGAAAGCCAAAAGGTCAGATCAGGTCGATTCGCTTTGAACCACCCCCCCAACCTCCGGTGCTCTCTTCAGTCAACAAAAATCCTGGGCTCCGGGGAAAGCCGGGGGTGTTGTGCCGAGCCCGAACTCCCGAAACCTTGGTTGGAAGGGGAGCAACATTCTCAACTTTTAGCAGTCAAGTGGGATTTCAACCACCAAACCACTTTACAAACCAAGGGGAGCAACATTCAACCACCAACCACCATACCACTTTAACTGCTTAAGGGGAGCAACATTCTCAACCACAAACCGCAAAAAAAAGAAAACGAGCCCGAGCCCGAACCCCCCGAACCCCCCCCCTTTCCGTTTCCCCGCCTTGGACCAGCGGATGTTTCCCACGAAGACCTTCAGATTGCCCTCCTGGCGCGTCCACCGAAGGAAAGCTGAAACCGAAGCCAGGGGTCAAACCTCTGCTCCCCCGTTATTGAGTGGGTTTTACAGGGAACTCTAAAAGGACAACCGTTGAACGCGAAATGTTTTTGGGGTCCCCTAAAAAAGACACACCCAATGAAGGCAGCGCCAAAAAAAAGACGGGGGGTACGCTTTCTGGGGCTGGTTTGTGAAGCCCCCCCAAAAAAAGGCCGAAGCCATTCGTTTGGGCCTTTGACAGAAACCCAATTGCAAAAGGACACCGGAAGCAGGGATCCGGATGCATGAAAAACACCTGAACATTGCAACTTGTAAATGGTGGTTTCCAACTTTATTTTGGTGTTGAAAAAGCCACATGTTTCAAATGGCTTCAAAATGGAGATTTCTTTTTCGGAGCCCTGGACAGTTTTCAGGGTTTACCTTCCTGGTCAGAAAGACCCCCAGATCCCCGGTGAAATATGCCGGGACCTACAAAGATGGCTGCTGGTTTCCCTTTAAAACAACCCGCAAAACCGGCACCCTCAAAAAGTTACCACAGGCCTGCGCGGTAGATCCCCCCCAAATTTGGGGCAAGCCGCTTTTCCTGGGCAACGCAAAAGAACGAGTTCGGCCGTGCCAAGAGGCTTCCCTGGGAAAATGGAGAACGGCTTTTGGCCGTGAAGCTTCACAAACTCCCTCAGTGGTTGCGGGGAATGCTCCCCTGTTAATTAGTGTGAGGACCCCCAAAAGGGCGTCCAATCCCCAAAATATGTTGAACTGCAGGAGAGTAAGTCCCCAACTAAATGAGGTTCATGAAAGGCTGAATGAGTTTGCCCAACGGCTCGACTTCAGCCGAGATGGCAATGGACAGGCAGAGTTACCCATTTGGATTTGTCTCAAACTGACTCGCAACTCCCATGGCTTTGCTTCCTTCGAAACAAAACAGGGTTCCAACCGAAAAATAGACGAGCCGCCCATGTGCTCACATGGGCTTCGATTCAAGGCACGCCTCGTGGGTTTTTTCCGGGCGCCTTGGCAGGCAAATGAAAATCAAGTCCGAGCCCGGAACAATTCCAAGTGCGTGGTTCAAGGTGGGTACCATCGGGCAGGAGTAAGGATTGAGTTTGAACCCGGAAGCGTCCAAACTTTGGCCAAACCGCCTGTCCCTGGTTTGAGCTCGGAAATGAACGGGTGAGTCATAGGCAAAACCTGGCAATAGCATAGTCTACCCAAAGCCATTTACATAATGAACAGGGCGGACATCCGCACCTATTTGTGGTTGGGACTATCCCTTATTTTCCTCTATTCACCCGATCTCGCTTGTGGTTCATCTACGCAACCAAAACCCATTGGCTTTTCTACTAATATAGTTATAAAGGTTTATATTGGCCTCACTACCCTTGATAAACCAGGTAGAACCACCAGGTCGAACCACCAAACACTATGGGCTTAGGACAGGTGCCACGTGCTCAACGCAAAACAACAACAACAACAAAAAACAAAAAAAAACTGAACAGGTCACCCTGAGCGTGCGCTTGTTGGTGCACGCTCACAGCATCCCGCTCTAAAAAAACGGGGGTAGATCGCCCTGGCGCAAGCGCATGCAGAGTCCTCTTCATCATCCTCCTCGTCTTCCTCCTCCTCACCCTCAGCCTGCTCAACCCACAACTGGCATGCCAAAAACACCGTCTCTCTGCGCACGGGCACGTTTTGAGTGAGTCAGTCCGAAGCAGTGAGGGCAGTCTACACGATTCGTCCCCACTCATTGGCACACCCAAATTTAGGTAGGCAGCAACACGCGCATGATCCATGCGACTGGCCAATGACAAATACATCCAGTGCATGTTGTGCTCGGATTTGAACCGGACCAACGACTTGCTGGCATCATCCATGCATGTGATCGAGGGTTCTCTTTCTCTCTGCGATGGTGTGTATATATATATATATGTATTTCTGTTTTTCCTCCCCCGCCCTCCTGTCTCCCGCTCTCTGTCTCGACATGCGGCTGCCTCCTCATCGCTCATGTCCTCTCCTTCGCTCGCCATCGCCTCTTCCTCCTCCTCCTCCTCCTCATCGTCCTGCAAAACTGGGCCGTCCTCAAATCCCCCGCTCAAAGTTTAACAGTTAATGGTTGAATGAATGGAAATCCCCACTCAACACTTTAAAGCCAAAAACCGCAGGAACCGGATGGCTGGGAACCACCAAGGTAGGATGCGATCTGGTCAAAACCTGGTATGATGCACCTGTTCGGCATGAGAGCTTGGGAGCCAAACAAGCTGGTTGCTGACGTGGATCAAACCCTGCAAGCAGGCAAGACTGCCTGCTCAACAGCCATGACATGGGTATCTGTGAAAATACGCGGATCCCCCCAAGGGTGGGTTCCAAGGAAAACCAAAAGGAAAACTGAAGCCATTCTTTTTTGTGGGCGGGGGTCGCCTAAAACAGCACATGCAAATGAACACGGCACAATACCGACAAGCCAGCGAAGTCATTTCTGGAGTGAGACCTGCCAGCCCCATCCACCAAGACAGCTTCCACCATCTTTCAAACTTTCAAATAGAAAGCAAGAAACCACCAAACTGCCTTGTCCAAACCTTGTAGGTGTCCTCGAGTTATGTCAGTCTTTCCAGCACAAGGCAAGGAATACCGCTGGAAATCGTATGACAAGAAGAACCGCGATGTGTTTGCTGCTTTGAGCTTTAAGCACCTTGTCTTTGTTGTTACCCCTTATTGTTTACTGTGGTGTCCAAACCCATGCAAACTGCACTTTGGCAGATCACAACTCACAACTCTTCAGCACACGCGCAGTGATCAAAGCATTTGTGGAGAGCTTGCAACTTTCACTACGAGTGGAAGTAGACAACGGTAGCTCAAGATCAAAATGTGCGATCTTTCACTACATGCATGGTACACCAAGGTAGTTCCAGAATCTGACCTTCTCGTCGATTGTTCTTCGCGACGTTGTTTTCCGCCGCGACAAAGAACTTTGGGTCCCAAAAAAGCCAACGAAAGCAATTCGTCTGGTATCCCTTTCTGGTGCTGGCTTTCCCCTTTGGCTACAGAGCCATCCCCAGCAACGAGGCAATGACCCCTATAAAACCATCTCCTATGGTTTCCTTTAGGGGAATCCCCGGGTTCATTCCCTTTCTTACTCCCGGCCTATCGCCCATCGCCATCCCCAAAAAGTGGGGACAAAAGCCCTCGCCGCTTTTGAGCCCTCGCCTCCGCTTCCGGCTTGAGCTTTGCCTGCGGCTGGCGACTGCATGCCATGCACATGGACCCCAGAAAGCGGCACAACAAATCGGTGACTGTCTCCCAAGAACCCCCTCCAAATTCCCGCCTTTTGCAGGGTATCATGCCAAGCCTCTACTAAAAAACATGTATTTACCACGAAGAACCAGGTTTCGAAGAAACAGTGGTATTTGGAGTAGGGGGAAGGGCAAAGAGTCTTTGAGCATCCAACGTTAGCTGGGATGAATGTGACATGGGCCTAGTCGCGAAGAAAGAATCGTGCTTCCTTCGACTGAACGGTATCCCTGACTGGAATAACACCTGGGAAACATAGCTTAGAGACACGGAATCTGAATAAGGCGTCAAAGCCTGCCCTGCAATTTCACCATGGAACTGAAAAAGGGACCCCCCCCCCCCCCCCGCTGCCTCTAAAAATTATAGACCAAAACCAACAGAAAGAAAGAAATGATGCCTCTAAAAACCGGCGGCTTGGTAGGGCTTCTTGGTTCCAGGTTCTTGAGCATCTGCCTTTTCACGATGTGGCTTGGTACTGGGCTGGGCCACCAAACAGAAGCATTTTTTTGGTTGACGTTGGGTAAGGGGAGCAACAATTCTCAAATTTTAGCAGCTAAGTGGTTGGATTTCCCTCACTAAACCACAAAAAGCAAAAATGGGAAAAATGTAAATCCCAACGACAGTCATGCAAATACTTTTCTCCAACTGCCAAATCGGCTCACTTCGGGGGTTGCCAGCATGCAGGGTTCTGGAGATTCGGCGCCAGGCATTTCCGCTGTCGGGGATACCTGTGCCAATTTTTGCAATTTTCCGAGCACATGCTGGTCGCAAATTATGACAAGCTTTCCCGGGTTTTTGATATGCTTTGCTGGTAAAGGACCCTTTGGCCGCTTCTGATGGTACCCTTTTAGGAAAACCAAAACCCCCAAAGCCCCTCCGGTGTGGTCCCCCAGCTTGCGACAATACTTTTTGATCGATGCAATAGCTCCGAAAGGCTCCCTCTTTAAGAGCTTGAATTTGGACACACCCAGCTCCGGAACGGTTCCCTTCCCTCCACCGGCTAGACAAGCGTTGCATGTCCGCTATTCATCACTTTTGCACGGGGAAATAAAGCGAAACGAAAGCAAATTCGAGCTGATCCTAACAAGGAAGTTGCTCGGGAACACAGACACAACATGACACAACCCTCAGCCAATCAATCAGTCGACTGACCCACCAGCCGACCAACCAAGGGCGGTCGAAGAAAATCCCTGGACCAAAGCGACCAGCCAACCAAGTTGATCCAGGTTGGCGCCCATGTCGCACCCACACAAAACTCCCAGGCCTTGGCAAGCGCGCCTTTAGATTTCTTCACCTCAGTGCCGAACCAGCGGGTCTAACTAGTTGCGACAGTTCTCTGGGTAACGCCTGCAGACGATTTGGGGAAACTGGGTACTTCCGACTGAAGTCGGTATGGAGGGGACTCCTCCTTCCCCTCAAATCGATATCCACCAACATTGCAAGCTCCAATCTCTAGTGGCCCGCGTAGCTTGGAAGCTCAAGCACACCTAATCAGGCTCTCTGCTGCCGGGCCATAGCGTAAGTCCAGGCTCAGCCCATTAAGGCACTGCGGATGCTATTCTGGGGTGAGCTTTGACCCGCAAAAAGATTGACTTGTTGCTCCTGCATCGCTCTTTGGTAGAGACACCGGTCAAAAACGAGCATCTAACTGCTTGACTTGTTGCTGCTTAGTGGGAAAGCAGTCCTTTCCCCGCGTTCGCTGAACAGTTTCAAGGTGGAACCTGGCAATCAATCGGCGCGTTTGGGGCAAAGCTTTGGGGTTTGTTTGGTAGGCTTCGTTCTGCATGGCGAGTTTTGGGATGGGCATCTTGCCTTAGGGTCTTGGCACGTCAGGCCCGCATGTGTTGTTTTCGGCCTGGCATGCTTTTGGAACCGGAACGGCCCGCTCCTTCGCCATTCGTCCTCGATCATGTTGGTCTTAAGCCAAGGCTGCGAAAGCAAATCGCTCACTCAGCCTGATCGACTTTCGCCTGATGACTCACGACTCCCTGATGACTCACGACTCCCTGATGACTCACGACTTTTTGACGACTTCCTGATGACTTCCTGATGACTCCCTGCTGACTTCCTGATGACTCCCGGATGTCTTTGACCAAGGTTGATCAGGCTAGATCATAGCGAATCAATCAATGTATGGAAAACGAAAGGGAAAATCAAAGAGAAGACAAATGGAACATCCCTCACTCCATGTTACTAATCATCAATAATCTTGTCAGTCGTTAACTTGCCCAAGCTCGAGGCCTATGTGGATATCCCGTTTTCCGCAATGTCTCTACGTAGCTCACCTGAGTGGATAGGCAAGAAACACCCAAGAGAATCAAAGCAATCATTGAGAGTGAACGCCCGTCCCACACTTCCATTTGCTTCAGCCCTGGAAAAATAAACATATTTCCAGTAGTCATAGATTCCCTTTAAAACCAAGAGGGAAACATAAGAAATGTTCTTAAGCAAAAAGAAGCACAGTGTGTCTCACGGCGGGTCTTGCCAAAACTGACCAGCAGCAGCAAGGCGCACCTTTTGGCGCCCAATCTGCGGCCATCTTGGCAGCACGCACCTGCGAAGAAAGAGAGCGGAAGGGACATCGCAACGCCCGCGGAAATTAGCAGCACCAGGATCCAGCGTGCATGCAAATACTGCAACATGATTCGACTGAGGCCCAGTTATAGAATGTATATTCTATTGTTTGCTTCCCTTTGAGTCACTGGTAGAATGCAAAATGTATCCTAAGTCTACCCCAGGCAAGTTGAGCAGCCGAAAGCCATGGTAAACTTTTCCCTTGTTCCCCACGCTGTTCCCCACGCTGTTCCCCTAAGTGAGGGGTACTCCGAATGTTTGCAGGATATGGTTTCTGTGGGCTTCTACTTCCATGACATATTTTGGGGCGGCTTTCGGTGCCGGATGCAAGGGATGAGCCAACCGGGATCCTGGCTTCTGCAAACTGTGTTGATAAAATGGCTGCGAATTTTCACAGCGGAAGCTTTTCAAAATGGTTGGTGGACAAAATTCCCCACCTAAATGATGTTCGCCAAAGGGACCCCAATTATTTAAAAAAAAAATCACACCCAAATAAGGGTGGACAATTTCGCAGAGGGTGCCATGCCTGTTCAAAGTTATCCTTTTCCTTGCAGCAGTCGAGGAAATCTACCATAGACCAAATTCCCTACTACTTGTTCGGACATACTGTGGAAGGACGTAAAATCCGTTCGCACCGCTTTGAAACCATGGTTGAAGCCCGTGTTTGTTGGTGTTTCCAGCAAAATCATACTCTCCAGAGTTTCTTCGGCGCGTTTCACGGATTTCGCAACCATCCACGGTATGTCTGGGCCTTCAGGCATACATGGCCATGGGTTTCCACACGACCAGCGACGTCAGTTTGGAAGTGCGCCAGCCTCGGCGACGTTTGGCTCACAAGAATGCACAGGTCCCGTTGAGCAAAACCGCTCTGCAGCCCTGAAAGCCAAACATGGACCTCAGGGACAATCAAAGACATTGGTTGGGAGGAGTCTCATTTTGGTTGCCACTCTCGGATGCCCAACGCTTGAATCCTCGTGAGTCTGACGCTGCAGCAAGGGGGCTGACTCAGTGGGTTAATCAGTACTCCCTCGGAAACCTTCACGCGCTTCCCCCCCTTTTCGGTTTCTTCTTGGTTTCTCTACGCACATTTTATCAGCATGTCTCTTTTTGGACGGGACACCACGCAGCCAAACTGGAGTTGCCCAATTGCCCAGTTGGCCTGGTGGAAAGAGAATTCGCTTGCCCCTTCCTTTCAAGGCTATTTAGGGAAATCCTCCAAAAAAGAATTGGGTCTGGGAGAACCCTGTTTGGAGAAAGGGAAACCAAAAGCAAAATCAAGCGCCTGCAAGAACTCGCCTCTGTTATTCTTGCTTGGTTCGGGAATCAACTTCGGAATGAAACAATGAACCGGATTTCTGGATCGATCCCCCACCACTTGGATGGTTCACTTCGGGTTCACATGAACCAGAAGGGGATCCCCTTAAAGAAAGCCACCAGTTGGGTTCAGTCACCTGAGTGGATGGCCAGAAAAAGTCCAAACTTGTTTACCACTAAAACGGTCATATCGAGAACTCAGGGAGTGAGCCAACGTGCCCTCAAATGGGATCTACGTGACTAAAACACATGGACTTTTCTACTGGGATGGTTACAGAGCTAAATTTTGGCCCGCCAAACAGGCGCCAAGTGAATGCTCTGAAAGATGGAGAGCAAAATTATCATCAAAATGGGTGTGGTTTTCAGGGTGGACCCCCAAACATGTTTTTTTTATCAAAATGGGTGTGGTTCCTTTCAGGGTGGACCCCCATGGCCCAACGAGTTCTCCCTTTGGTTCCCTTCAACACCACGGCCTCCGCCAGGCTGGGCACGGCATCCCAGGGCCAGGCCTTCTGGGGCTGTGACAGCGCATACGATGTGTGTAGATGCAAGCATACGCATCTAGATATATATGTACATATGTACATATCAGTGTTTGTAGACATAATTGTATATGTATGTTATATATATATATATGTAATGTATGTATATATATATATACATTAATTATAGCATAGCTACATATGGATACGACTATACATTATATATATATATATATGCTATGCCCCCCCCCCCGGCCTGGTGCTCTCGTTTTGCTCGATTTAAGAGCGCAGGCTGTAGAGTTTAGAATTATTTTTGCAGTAGAAATAAGCAAAGATGAATGGGCTTGCAGTCCGTTATGGCAAGAAACAGATGATTCTCTGGGACTTTTGAGGGAAATGTTGGATCCATGAATGCCCCCCCCCCCGTGAAACCTTAAGACCGGGTATTAAGAAATCTACATGACTGCACTACAAACCTCAATACCGGGAAAAAGTTGCCAAACTACAGACAATCTGAGGCACCCGGGGAGGGGGGGTCTGCCGTTCTGCTGCTGCAACGTGCCAGCATTTGGGGCGAGGTCACAACCCAAAAGCCTCTGCAAGGTGGCAACGTATGTGTGGTGGCCAAAACTCCGCTTATTGTGGGCCACGGTCGTGGCTCCCTAAAGAGGAATCCTCGCCTTTGTCGGCAATCCCTATGCTTTTGATGACCATCCGTACCCCAAGCAAGCAGGTTGTGAATGGATGACCATCCAGGATTACAAAACCAACCATATTCCACATTCCACACCCCCAAAACGCCCCAAAGCACCAAGAGGCCACAAAAAAAAGGCAGCAAGCAAACAAGCAACCCAAAAGCCCCAACAAGCAACCCAAAATACAGCCCCCCAAGAGCCCCCAAAAGCACAACCCCAGCATCCACCCCGGCACACGTCCAGCCTGGCGCTCGCCATCCCGCTCCTTGGGCGGCGAGCGAACCGCCCGGGCTCCTGAAAGCCGCGCCGATGCGCCGATGCGTCCGCGTCCCGCCGATGGCCATGCCGAAAACCGCGCAAGCGACCCATCTACCTTTGGGGCTTCTTCCATGCGTCTGAAACGTGGGCAAAAACTGAGGGAAATAGGTTGCCAAGAGTGAAGTCGATGCCCTTTATTTCCACCAACAGGTGAAAAATGCAAGATATTCATTTCAGCAAATGGAAGGTTTGGCACCACAAATCAACGAAGTTTTGGCACAAATAAACCTAACCGGACATTCAATCGCGCTGAGCCCATCAGCCGTCTGAGTCTTTCGGCTGGCCCTGTAATTAGCGGCAAAAGCTATGCCTCTTAGACCTGGGGCGCGCCTTGGTCGCTCACTGGCCGCTCTTTCGGCAGTGAGACGTCCGGGCGCTTTTCGCCTGTGGCCTTGGGGGATGGATGGTGCGAGTGCCGGGGGCAGATGTTGGCTTGGCACAAAAAAAAAGGTGCAGCTCCCACCAGGTAACATGGCCATGGGGGTCAAAACCCGTACCCCCAGTGAACATCCCAACTCCCAGCAGCCACCCCAAAATGATACCATTGGTCTTGACCCACCCCGGTAGAAAGACGACTTTCCTCTTGGTTAGTTGGCCTTTTTGCACTTCCATGTTAGTTGGTGCGAGGGTAGCCTGCAAAAGAAGTGGCTTCCCTTTGCTGGAACAATCCTAAGGGTACCCTCCTGGAAACACGTTGCCATGGAACCTGATGGAGGGGTCCCATCAAAAAATGTTCCTTTCAAATGGACCCGCTGACGGGTCGATGTAGGTGGAGAGGAGGGTACATCTAAAAAACACGCCCGGGAAAAGCACAACACCGTGGCGTTGCATGAGAGATCCTGGGTGCGTTCTGTTGGAGACTGCTGAAAAACGCCCAATTGGCAACATCCAAAAGCCGTCTCCCTATGAGACGTTTTTTTCCGCACCCAAAAAGCGCACGTCTGTTTCTGGTCCATATGTAGTGAGCTGTAGCTTCTGTGTGCAAGGTGGAATGCGCTTGGCACGGGAGGCTCCCATCTTGGCCCATCGAACGGGGCCCAGCAGCACGACAGTCTGCCTAAACCTCAAGCTCTGAACCCGCACCTGCCCTACCTTCAACCCTGGCTTGATTGGCCTGTTGGAGGTGCTGTGCTTCAGACTCGTGTGAACCAAACGCTGGTTCAACCCAAATGCACTCAATTTGAGGCTAGACACTGGCCTCATATCAAAGGCGTTGAAGAGTCAAAGGAGAGTTTGCGCACAGGGAAAGACTGCAGTTGCTGCCACTGTGATGGGAACCCCAGATGAACCAACCCCAGTTCATTAATAGAGTCGCTGGGTTTAGTGGCCCCCACCCCCAGCTTAATAGGACGGATTAACCCAGGGTCTCATGCAGCCTCCCAAGAGCGGCCTGTTGATAGCTGCTCTTTTGGGAAAATAGACAATATTGGTCGAAAAACCAGGTCAACCAGGGCCACTTATGTTGGCAAAATCAAAACCAAAACACAAGGCTACTCATCAAGGGCCATTTATATTGGCAGAAAAACAAAAACGAAACATAAGGCTACTCAACCAGGGTCATCTATATTGGCAAAACACAACCAAAGACAAGCTACGCATGGTGTGTATCCTTGAACCCTCGTGGGTGGCTTTCCTGGGTGGCCTTGCAACAAAACACGTGAGACTTCGAGCCATCCGATCAACTGGGCAAGCTGCCAGGTTCACGAAGTAGAAAAACCCAGGCCTTCGAGCATGGGGGGTTGATCGGAATCGGACCCCCAAAATGGATCTTGGCTTTCCCTTTCGTTTCCCTCCAAAAAGCCAAACAAGGGGTACCAACTCCAAAAACATTGTTTCAAGACTGCTTTTTGGGGGTTGTCAAAGTCAGCAAATGGGGGGTGGTTCCTCAAAGGGGCCAACCCCCTTGTTTGGGGATACCCCACACCCCACACAACGCTTTTGCTTGACCAACCTCCTTTGGGCCAAACCCGCTTCCCCCTGCAGCCAGGGTTTGGTCGTTGATTTGGCTGGTGCCTTCAACCCCATCGTCCCCCGCGTGGAAGCCTACGAAGTGCTTTGGTCAAAACGTACCACGCGAAAAACGTCAAACTTGTGGCTCGTGGAGAGGTGGGCATGCCCAAAAAAGCCTAACAGCTTTAGTTATACATCATCAATTCAGGTTGGTTTTCTAGGTCCTCCAGTAGAGAGGTTGGAATAAGGGTACCTTTTCTTGTGTGGTCCATCTTAGTCCGGGAACCCTCCCACCCAAAAAAGGGGTGAGAAAGAGCACCTAACTGGGTGACCTAGTTGTTTATTGGCTTGCGTACAAATCATACATATACTAACTTGTGTAACTTGTGGCTAGCAGGGAGATAGTCATGCCCACAAAAACTAAACAGCTTTAGTTATTCATCAACTCATGTTGGTTTTATTGGTTTGCATACCAATTATACACACACTACCTTGTGGTCGTAGCTGAAAGGAAACCCCACGTGGATCATCTCAAGCCGCTCGCCTGCTGCGGCTGGCCCGACGCTGCCAGCCCTTTGGCTCCTCACCAGGGCTCGTGCTGTGGGACTAAAAATGATTGCTTCGATTCCCCTGTAAATACCAACAAACAATGGTTTCAACCACAGTGCCAAAGTGGCGCGGTCGCGGATTCGCAACCATCCAACGTAGGTCCCATAATGGGGTGTGCTATGCCCCAGATGTTGAGAGCTCTGAGGCTTGGTACCCCTTTTTCGGTTGTAAAAGGGAAACCAGGACAACTGAAGCCATTTTGGGGGGGTACCCTGAAAAAAGCGGCCACGCCAACGTGGTTTTGGGGCGTTTCCTTCAAACCGCAGAGGGTAACTTTCAGAAATGGCCATGGGTCAAAATCCAAAGCGTACGCCCAGTGAACATCCCAATCCAACCACTAAAATAGGCTCGAAAATGGGTGGTGAATTCACCTACCAACCAAAATGGGATCCCAAAACGGTTTTGACCACCAATGGCTGTGGGTCAAAACTCTGTACCCCTGGTAAACATCAAAATAGCTGGCAAATGGATGTTCATCCACTCCAAAATGGAGCCATAGGTTCTGCCCCATGGCCAAATGGACATTGACTTTGAATGCGTCGACTCGGAGCCCTTGAGGTTGGCCATTTTCTGAACGTCACTGCAGGTGACCTGTAACCTGCTCCGGGCATGTCCTTGGATGCACATGCAGTCGACGGACGCTCGCCGAATAGGACAAGCAGAAACTCGTAATTTGGAGCGCCCTTCCAAAAGTACAGATGATTCAAACCGGCAACCCCTAGGCGAGCAGATCATGTTGGCTTAGGGTGGCTGAGCTTCCCAGTGCTTATGCCAGGCTAAGGATTTGTCGTGCATTCCCTTGCCGCAAGCCTCTTACCTACCCCGTGCCCGCGCAAGCACCGGAGTCTTTGTTCTTCGCCATGCGCCTCACTCCGCCTTGACCTTCTGCCGCACCTCGTGACACGAAATGACATCCTCCAAATTCGATCTAAATGGTGGTTCAAAGTACGCACCAACAAAAAGCAGCGCTCCAGCTCACATATGAAGCCTCAGAAAATACCACAGCTACCAAACAAAAGAAGCAGGGGCCCGAGGAACACCCCTGCTGTGAGGGAAAAGCAACTTGGCCTGAAACACAGGAAGATCCGAACACAGCAGCGCTTAAGCATCGAGCTTGAGGCTATGTACATTAGGAAGAAACAAGTGTTGGCAAAGTTGATCCAAAAAGCGGACAACTCATTGCAATTTGTGTGCTTCCGTCCCCACGACTATTAATTTGGTTTTGAAGAGTCCCAGCAGACCATGAGATTTGCTTAGGCTCGTACATCAGGAATGGCCCATGAACCCGATCAAAACTTTGGCCAGAGGAACTTTGCAGGCCTTGACTCTTACGAGGAGAAAGCTCCGCCATCCTTCCAATTCTTTGACGTTGACGTTGGCTACCGCACTGGCAAACATACACCCTAGGCTTCAACCCCCCAGTAAAGAATGTTCGGTCGACCCAGTTGAGATGATCACAATCCTGAGGTAAACAACGAGGGATGTAGGAAGGCAACCATTGTTTTGATGGTGGTTTGACTCCGAGGGTACAAGGATAGAGAAGCAAGTGAAGAAACGGCGGAAGGAGATGATCACGAAGAAGAACACGAAAGCAGAAAGAAGCGCAAGCAACAAAGCAACAACAAAAAAGAAGAATGAGAAGGAGGAGCAGGAGGAGGAGGAGGAGGAGAAGGAGGAGGAGGAAGAATAACAGGAAACCAGAAGAACATACAAGAAGACGAGCAAATCAAAGATGAAGACGACAAAAAACAATAAAACTTAATACATAATAAATACAACAATAAAACATGAGGAAGAACCAATGAAGTGGACAAACGGATAAAACCGTAAAGAAGACGACTCGCACACAATATATATATATATAATCATCAATAATAACACAACTAATCCATAATAAATATAAGAGAACACCAACAAAAGCAACCGGATACACATAAGAAGGAAGAAACACCTAAAGACAAAAGACACGGGAGACACATATATATATATATATATACACATATATATATATATATATATATATATACAAAAGGGCAAAAGGAACGCCGGCCTGCCAAAGGACCAGCGCAAGGAAGGGCAAGGCTCGGAGGTCCACTGCCAGCTGCAGAAGCCATACGAGGCTGGCCGTGAAATGTGTGACACATGGAAAGAAGGTGAACGCGCGAGTCAAAGGATTTGGGTGTCCTACGAAGGAGGGGTTGGTTTTTTTTTTTTTTTTTTGGGGGGGGGGTTTTGGGGGTTTTGGGGGTTTTGGGGGTTTTGGGGGGTGGGGAGTCAAGGATTTGGGCTCGGGGTGGATTCTCCACAAGAAGTCTGGGCTTCAATGGGTCGGTCCTTTTTTCGGTCGGCTCGGTCGGCTCGGTACCCCCTTTTTGGCAGTTTTTTTCAAGGGAAACCAAAAGGAACAGTGTCATACGTGTCCTTTTAAGGCAAATAGATGGGTTTCCCTGGTGGATGAATAAACCACCAGGTAAACCAGGGCCATCTATTTTTCTACCAAAATAACCAAAACGGACACCTATGAACAGTGTTTTGCTATTTGGGGGTTCTGGTTCCTAAAATGGGAACCACGCCCATTTGTTGTCCCCCCCTACATGGGAAGCGGGCAAGCAACCAAAGCTACAGGTTTTAGTCAGGGGTTCTTCCAGTTCCCTTTCTGGAACCTACAAAAGTGGCGATCGGTTCAGTGGAAACCACCCCGCTAATCACCACTTTTGAAAGGGAAATCCTGTCATCCCTGTTACAACATTCGGGAGATTTAGTCAGTGTGCATTGCTCTAGGGGTACCTTCCATTTCCATTCTGAACCCAGGGATCCTTCCCGTGACTCAAAAGCCGAAAGAAAACCACAACTTCTGGAGAGAATCTGCTTCTTTCGGACACACAAAAAGATGGTTGATCTTCAAGAAATGTCTGCCTCCAAATGATGGTGCTGGCTACTTGGTTGCGCGTATGCGGCAAGTAGGCACTCGCCACCCGGCCATCGCAAACTGCCCATTGCGAATTCTCCCATTTCTTTCGGCACCAAGGTAACATGCGTAACTTCCTTGGAAAGGCAGCAGCCGGGATTGCTTCCAAACATGGGGTTTGGTCTCAAGATGTGGGGAACCTTGAAAACCCCAAAAACGGATACCCCACCTTCCCCCCCACAAACAAAAGGACGCACCGCACCGGCTCCAACAACGCACTTACATGCTCCCGCGAAATCTCCCCGAGTGGGCAGTGGTGCACCTCCGGACAGCGGAGAAGAGCACCACCAGCGCCTGCGCTAGACCCCCGTTTGGCCCCCGTTTGGTCCCCGTTTGGTGAACATCACCTCCAACAGGGGGAGAAAAAGTCGGGTCGGCTCCAACATGTGCAGAACAAATATAGGAAAGAAACGCCCCACAATGGTGGTTCTTTCAGGCAAGCCCAAGGAAAGCCCAAGTTGCAAAGGAACGCCCAAAATGGGATTTGTTCAAGGTGTGTAAACATCTTTGAAGGAGGCCCAGTGGGTGGCGTTGGTCCATTCAAGTGAATGTGTGCGCTCTCAACAGCGGCGCTGTATTCAGTATGCGCATAAAGAAATCCAATGCCAAGGAGCCTGAGCAGTTCAACCTTAGTTTGCCTCTCGTGTTTGCAAACTCAACCCTTAAAAACAACTACCTTTTGACAGGGAGTAAAGAGTGCTACCCGTCTTTGGTGGTTCCCCTAACATTCGTAGACAGCACCCCTAGGTCAGACCCCCTGAGAAAACCTCCTTGCTGGTTTCCCTAAGATTCTTGAAGACCACCCCACCAAGCATCCTTACGTTTCACGTGTCTGCCCTTTTGGCGGTTCCTCTAAGACGCAACCCACTCGCCGGGCCCCCACCAAACAACCGAACCACTCCTCCACCAAGACCAGGGTGTTTCCCCTTCCTTTTGGAGTCCTATCCCCCCCCCCCCCGGCAACCCAGAACAGCCAACCCCCCAACCGGCGAGTCCAAAAAAAGCAGCCCAGCACCTGGAACCAAAAACCAGGTGCTTCCTAGTGGTACTAGGGCGTGGTGTTCATCTAGGACCTTCTGCAGCTGCCATTTTTCCTTCTCGGGGTCCCAAGAAACCGCCGCCTCTCTTGGGCCGAATTTTCTTGGTTGCCGCACCGACCCCGCAAGAAGGGTCTTCACTTAGTAGGCCCAATTCGTTGAACATCCCGAGTTGCTTCAACCTAAAAGAAGGATCTGAGACCGAGCCACAAAGCAGAACCCCCCCCGGTTTCAGACGCCCAACGCCTATGGGTTTTCCTTGGGACATGTGGCTGTGGCTCAAAAAACCGGTACCAAAATGGAACCCTCCCGCGTAACCCCTCCTGTTTAATTTTGAGCCACAGCCATGTGGCCACCAATCGAAACCAGCGGAGCTCACCTCGGTCTCCCGCCGCCACTTTGCGGCTTCATTTGGGTCGCTTGCTCAAAAAATCGGTAGCAACATGGTCGTAATCCCAGAACCATGCTTCAAGAATTAAGAAGCCGGAATTAATTCCGCGGCTATTTCTGGCAAGGGGACTGCCCCTTAACCTTCATCTACCTGAATCGGTTTTGATGGCTCATTTCCCCTCTCTTTCAGACTCCCGTCCCCTCCCCCTCCCCCGAGCCCTGCCTGGTCCTCCCGCATGGCAATCCCGAAGCGGCTCTCGCAGGCCGCCAAGAACCGCCCCAGCCGCGAAGCCCAGAGCCGCGAAGTGGGCGGCAGCGACAGCAGCCGCGCCAACCTGTAGCGATCTTTCAGAGCGGAGTTGTGTTTTTGTTGTTGTTTCTTTCTTTTTTCTTCCTGCTGGTTTTTAAACTCCTCACAAGTTTAGGCATGATATAATTCTAGGGGTGGATTCCTTGTCCATTCTTTTCAACCTTTTTTCTTTTCAAAAACCGATCACTGCTTTCCCTGGGTGTTTGATGGTTTCCCCAAAAAAACATCGGATCCCTGGAAAGAATGGGGAAGCTTCCCCTAGAAATGTGTTGGATCGGTCACTGGAGCTCCCCATATCAAAACGTTGATTATTTACAAATCCAAGAAGACCAAATCATATGGAGCACAAAACCGGGGTTTGGGTTCACAAGGAGGGGGTCTTAAACAGATCCAGCATGTGAGGTCCATCCAGGAACTCGCGTAGTTTTCAGGAATGCTCCTTGCGGCAGGGGTCCACTTTTCAGCGTGTCTCCAGATGGCTCGGGACCCTAAAAACATGGTTTTCCTTCAGTGTCCCTCTTGCCACCAAAAAGATATCCCAAGAATAACTAGGTCCTCCGGTAGAGAGGTTAGAATATATAAGGGTACTCTGTTTCCTGTAGTCGATTTTAGTAGGGGAACCCTCCCCCAAGAAAGGGTAAAAGGGCACTACTTGGGGACCTAGATAAGCAACATGTTGCCCTCCAATCCGAGCTTTACCCACCAAAGATGACTCGCACATTCGGGGAGTTGAAGGCACTGGTGCTTCGGCCAGCTGAAAACAAGGGAACTACGGATGTGTCAACCCTAAGATGTGGTCTGTCTCAAAACAAAGTTGGACCTCCTCTCAGGTCTCACCTAAGGACATCAGCATGGAGCCAGCCCTCACCAAGGCGATAGTCTAGGCTAGGGATCCCTCAACTGGCACCCGACAAGCTACGGGTGTCCCTCACTCTGCGGCCCACCCCCTCTACGGCTTACGCCCTTTGTCGGCGGAAAAGAAGACGCCGAATCGGAGGCACATCCGTTGTGGGCGGTCGTTGCATCCCATTTGGATATCCCCCTGTGGTTCCTTTTTTAGGTAACCCTCAGAATGGTGGGTTTTCCTTTTTGTTCTCCCTTGAAACAGCAAAAAAAACCATTACCCTAAACGAAAGACACTCCCATGTGCATTTAAGCCCGGCTCCCCCGGGGAAATCAACCACCCCGGGGCTTAAGTTTACCTTGGAATAATCAAAGCATGGATTCTCGAGTTGCTCCAAGTGTTTGAAAAGGCGGGATTTTGGTGTTCAGAACTCAATGGTAGTCAGAACCGTCCCAATGCTTGGGTCCAGATTGTGTCGCTGGAAGAAATTCAAGGTCTTAGTTGCCCAGTTACCCAGAAAAAAGGTGATCACCAAAAAGACGAAACTTGTTTTTTGATGGTCGACTTGATTTGGGCTTGTTTGAGTCTTATCCTTCTACTTGGCAAGCCATGAGTTCTTTCCGGCCTCCGTCCCGCGTGCCGATTGAGATTGCGCCAACCATTTCGGCGCTTGGATGGGGCGAGGGCAGTGGGACAATGTTGGGATCCATCCTGAAGGTGGATATTACATTATACACCTGAACATTGCAACTTGTACATGGTGGTTTCCCTGCATTTTGGTGGAAAAAGCGATGTTTCAAATGGGCAAAATGTATGTTTTTAGGAGCCCTGATAAAAGTCATATATGATTCCCTTAATACTGCAATTGGGCCAGAACTTCTGGCGAATCGCGGCTTCAACCAAGCTGACAGAACCCTGAAACCACACACAAACACCTGAACGTACAAGTAAATCGTTGAAAGAACCTACTGTGGATGGACAAAATTGTGCACCACCTAAGAAACCCTGGAATGATGATTCCCCTGAGAATACCAACAAACAGGGGTTTCCCATGGTTTCCAAGCGGTGCGAAATGGATTTCGCAACCATCCACAGTATTGCAGGTGGCGCAACGAATCTCACCTGGAGGTTCACAAGACCGCACTTGGCAACATGCTTGGCGCCCGGAGAGGTTCGGGGAATAACAAGCCAAGATCAGTGACTTCAAAAAGGGGAGGGGCAAGCCGGCTGGTTCTGGCTTTTGTTGGTTTCCCTGTACCCCAAAGGGCGCCACCCAACTCTTGAACGTGGCCAGCGTGACGCCCGACAAAATTTGGTGACCTCAGGTGGCGAGAAAGGAGGGAAGTAAACCCAACCCTGGGCCGTTTCGTTTCCCTTCGATCCGCTGGTTCAATTGTGGAAAAGACCGCTGAACATCTGAAGCGGATGGACGCCGAGGAACGGAGAGTCCTGCGCGTAGCCCTGGTAGAACACCACGCAATCCTGGGCAGAAATTCCCCCGGCTTGGATGCAGTCAATGGACAGGGCAGAGCCAACAAAAGGGGAAAGAATGGGTCTCCTCGCTTCCGATCGAGATGGGCCAACCAAAGTACCCAAGCTGTTGCCATTGAAATTTTCGCTTCTCTCGATTCGAGACTCACACGCCCCCCGAGTTCGTGGACTTTGAACTCGGGAGGCGAGTCAATCGAGAGCAGCACCCAAAATGAGTCACAATCAAAACCGATCAGCATGAAAAATGGTCTACCCAGCACAAGCAGCAACCATTTATGGTTGGAATTAATTATCCTCTACTGACCTTCATCTACGCGGGTCTTGATCTTGGCTCAAATAAAATGTGTTTCAGAATATTTGGGCGCCCTCAAAAAAGCTGTCCTTGTGATTCCCATCCAAAACAACTTGACATTGCCAAAAACAATGCGTCCTCGAAACAACTTCATATTCAAAAGGGCCCAAAAATTGTTGGACCCCTTTCCGAAGCTTACTTGAAGGAAATCCCAAAACAGCAAAACCATGGCTGGAGAAGCTATTATGCAACAGGGCTGTGGGGAATGGAATCCACTTCTGTGATACAACAGAAAGGGCCTAACCCCAAAGACTATTTTCTTCAAACAAGAGAAGGATTCCCTTGTATCACAGAAGTGAAAAGAAACCCCTTCATCCCACAACCCTGTTATGCAACAACGCACCCAAGTGCGCACAATTCAGCAGCTCATAGTGTTACATGACCCAACACACCCCGCATATGCGCACCATGTATCGTTTCAGTAGGCGAGGATCTGTGATAGCTAGAAACAATGTTCCCCGATGGATATTCCGGCAACTATCCTGGAAGTAAAACCCTGCAAGGGGCTCCAACAAAAACTCTCTACAATTACGTGCATACACACACGTGTGTGTGTGTGTGCGCATGCGCAAACATACAGTACATTAATGTCTGTCTATCTATCTATCTATCTATCTATCTATCTATCTATATGTCTATATATATATGCATGTGTGTGTGCGCGGCGCATTTGTGATTGAGGCTCCATGTTAGTGTTCAAGGGTGCAATCCCCTCAACACAACGCAACCCACATGCACACAAACAAGAAAAGAAGCCGCTGGTCACCAGCCGCTGGTATGTTGGTCAAAACTTCTTCTATGGGTCATGGTGTGGTCCCCCTGCGCGGAAACCTTTCTGATGCTTGTCTAGATTTCGGTCATGTGGACCAATCTCTGCCCTCGGCGAGGCAAATGCTGACAAGCTTCATACGCGACTCCTTAGCTCAGTGCAGTTTACAGACTGGCCCAAAGCGGGAGGCAGTCGAGGACATGAGGCACGCAAGTTTTGAGCGACTCAAATAGTGTCACTGTGATTCTCCCACGGGTCCCTCCGAGAAATCCACGAAACAGAAGGTCCTCAGACTGTGTGTGTGTGTGTGCGAGCCACAAACATGTCTTTTCAACCCTTGCCACTTTTGCAAAACACGTTTCCGCTGCAGCCTGCCGCTTAACATGAGCAGACGCCCCAAAAAGACCAAACAAACAACTGCGCCGAGAACGGCGAGGATGTGGCACATGGTCCATTCGTCACTATTCGCTGAAAGGCCAACGAGGCGGCTACCACGTCTACCAGGTCGGGACGTCGGGGACTGCAGGATCGCAAGAGGGCTGAAACAAGCCTTGGAGTTACGGACCGGGTCGATAAACTTCCATTTGGTTGCGGCCCCAGGAACAAATATATATATATATATATATTTCCAGCAGTGATAAGTTGCTTTTAAAACCAACAAGGGAAAATATAAAAATATTCTTAAGCAAGTGGAGGGTAAGTCAGAGTCCCCTTGGTTTTCGTGGGACGAAAACCAACGCGCAGCTAACCCCCAACCTGTCGGACTGAAAAAGACCCGTGGCTGCACCGATGCTTCATGTGGGTGTGAATCTGGGACCCTTTGGTGGACATCATGGTGAGGGTTGATTGTCTACCAGCCACTTTTGAGCTGGTTCCAACTCTTAAGATTCATGACCCTCTTCTTCCTCACCTCCCCCCCAAAAAAAAACAAACCACCATATTAATCGCCTTCTGCTTCCCCCTCCCCAAAAAGAAGAAGAAGAAGAAGAAGAAGAAAACGCTGTCTGGCGGCGCCAGTTGGCCCGGAAGAGCCTGTCGCCTTTCCAGCCGCAACACGCTCCCCTTCTTAGACGCACGTACAGGTTCCCACACCCAAAAGCTAGAAACAGGGAACCTGCTTTGGGATTGACCACTAGGGACAAGCGGGGAAACAGTTCCCTTCGTTGGGATTGACCCCCTTTTTACACACATATATATATATAGTAAACAAACAACGGGATTCACAGGGGATCCACTGAACCCTTGAGGAGTTCCTGTCTTGCGATCGGAAGACCCTAGCCGACAAAGTCGACTGCTCCTTATGGCCAGGGGTGGCATTGGGAAAACTTTCAAAGAGCTTGACTTACCCCTTAAAACTCCAAGGATTGGGGAAGTTAACCTTTTACAGACATATAGCCCATGTTACCCCCAAAAAGTTGAAAAGTTGTGTTTTTAAGAGGTAAGATTGAACACCAAGCAAAGCCTCGGCGTTTCGGTCATGGCATACGGTGGAAGGACGAGAAATTCTGCACTTCGAAACCATGGGAGCTTCTTGGTGCGAAATGGAGTTCGTCCATCCGCAACCGCGGATAGCGCCCTACAGACTGTGGTTTCGTGGCCATAAATTTGGACAGTCCGAACTAGACCCTAAAAACGTCAAAAGCGTAAGCTTGATGGCTAGGAACACAGGAATGGGGTGATCAACCTTTAGGATTGTTCTCAAAGCACCAAGAAACCAAAATGGCTGGTTTCCCATTGAAGGCGTCCGTTAAGCATGTCCGAATGAAGAAACCTAAGAAAGCTTACCATCGAAAGAGACCCAAGAGACGCACCCATTTGGTGGCCATCAAATAGAAACTCATACCTACCAGCAAATGATCTACTTCGAGTGGGTTCCTTTGATCAGAAGCAACAACTTGAATTAACAGTGGACGAGGAAGAGTTGTTGAATGTTGATGAAGGTGGTTCAAATCAATCTGAAGTTGTGTCTATATCAAAACAGGGCTACCCCAAAGAAAGTGGGCGATTTTCTCTTGGTTTGCCTTCAATACCAACCCTCAACCCCCCCCCCCCTTGTGCTTGCTTGGCCGCGCTCCAGGCTCCGCAACTTCACCTAACTTTGCTCGAATGGCCGCTCCTGCTTTCAAGGAAAGGAACTCCCACGGCCACCAAATGCCCATGGTCAACTTTTCCAAGTAGGACATGTCATCTTTTAGATGCTTGGAAAGGAACTCGCATTTGCCAGTTGATCAATATTCCCTCAAAGAACCCCCCCAGTTTTGACCATGGGTACCTTTTCCAGTTTAGTGGAAAATAATATCAAGTTTGCTGGTGGTTTTCCCTCATGGTCATCCCATGTAAAGGACCTTTTGATCAACTCCCATTTGGGTATGAATTTTACTGGGGACTTTGTTGAACCCTCCTTCCCCCTGGGACAGTTCAAACTCCCCACACAGGCGGACAGATGCAGAATTACCGTAGGATCAACGTCAAGTTTCTGTTCCATGTAGCAGGTGCCCTCAAACCAAGTCCCAGTCAGGGAACAGAAAACGATGGCCCTCCCACACACACACACAGATCATTACATTGTCATTACATGTTTTTTCAACATTGCCTACGTTCAGCTGCGAAAAATCCTGTGAATAGCTATGAAACTGGAATGGTTGATCCTTCTAAACAGGACGAACAACGCAAAGAACATCTGCACTTAGCAAGTTGCTGCTTCAGGCTTCAGATACCGAAAACGTCCTGATTAGTCGAAAAGAAAAAGTGATCAGACTTCTTGATGACCCTCTCCAGGTTAAAATTGAACCCAAAAGAAATTTTTCCTAGGAGATTCCTCCATTGGCTTTGAGGGTCACTGTTCATCTGCAGACTGCACGTGTATCACAAGCCAGGATTGACTGGGTCGCGCAACCCATGCAACTAGCTTGCGCAGTTTGGACCTAAAAGGTGATCACCTTTTGGGACCTTTACTAAAAGACCAAAAAGGGAAATCAAAACGGGAAAGGTCGACTTTGGGCAGCTGAGTGTAATGGGAATACTTCCCTTGAGTTGGAATCCAACAGGTTTATGACTGCGGCCTGATTGTCGGCCGATCGAATCCGATTGAACATGCCCCCTAATGGGAAGCCCAGACGAGAAAACCCCTGGCTGACTTTGATGTGGGGAAGTCCCTTTGAAGACACCCCACATAAATAGGATGAGTTCAACTTCAATCCGGTACTTCCATTTGCTCAAGTCCCCTGGAGAAACAAACAACAACAACATACAAGTATGTCCTAGTGATCCATTCCCCTACACACCAACACGGGACAACTAAAAAATAAGTCTTAGAAGCAAATAGAAGTGAACAAAAAACCACCTACTGGCTTCCCATGAAATTGGTCACCAGCTGGGTTCCTCGCCACCGGACCCACCGACGCGTCGAGTCGAGCGCTCGACGGGGCGCCAGCGGCCCCAGCCGCGGCGGCGGCGGCAGCTCCCGGGACCCTCGGCTCAGGGCGAAGATGGCGCCCCCTGCACGCCGCGTGCGCCGCGGGTTTGGGGGGGTTGGGGGAGCTGCAAAGGGGACTGGGGGGAGTTGGGGGATTGGGGAGGCCACCTCAAGTTGGCCACCCCAGCTGCAGCCAGTTTGCCTCAGCTGTTTACTTTTGAGCCACACCCTTGTTTTTGAACATGTTGTTCGTGAAACATCAAAAACAACAACTTTGTTTTTAGTGAACGCCAGAACAACTGAAAATAGTTGTTGCCCATGTGTTTGAACATTTGGGTGCGATCCCTGCGTCGCTTTGGAGCGGTTCCTGTTTTTTGGAATTGGACCCCCCCCCCAAACTAAAATGGCTTCCGGTTTTCTTGTGTTTTCTTGTTTGTTGAACAACAGACACAAACTCATTGTCTGTAGTTGTTTAATCAAAACACATCATGCATCCCCATGCCAATGTGTCTCCTTTCTGGTTGAAGATCAACAACAACCCTCTCGGAGAGTAGACTCTTGGCGAGCTAGGTTCAGATCTGTCAGTTCGGACATGGCTGGGAATGGGACACCAATATTTAACCCCGGGCCAAAATAACATGGGCGAGATCTATCAGAGTCCCAGTTGGTGGCTTGGATTCATTGTTAGGAGGGGGTGGTTTTCCATTTACCCACAAGAGCCAGGGGTTCAAATCCCACCAATGCAACCCACCAATTCTTTTGGGTTACCTGACAACCACGTGCTGTTCTGTTCGCCCTGAGGACCTTGGTCAACTGAGCTAAATGACTGTGCTCAGTGCTAAAAGAGACTCATATGTCATGTATGCATCAAAATAGTGAGTTGGACTCCGAAACATGGCGCAGCGGTTTGCCTTTAGCTTGTTAAAGTCTGAAGAAACCGTTACCTAGCCTCAAACAGAATGACAGGTCATGGGGAGGTTCGCGACTGGCATGGTCCTTCTTGTTCAATCCAAAGCTTAAACTACCAAGCGGCAGATCCAAATGAACACCTGCCCGCCTTTCCAACCGCCAAAGCCGCCCCTATTCGGCGTTCCCAAACCCGTCTCCTACAAGACTCCCGGACATGGTCAAGCTATTTTTTTTGGTTTGGACCCCAAACTAATTAGTTTTCCTCAGCTTGGCTGAGTATGAACATGCACAGCCCGAGTGCTCGAGCTGTATGTCGTTTTGTTTGGGGGAACCGATTCCCGGGTGGTTTCTGGCAAGGACTCCGCGGCCAAAAAACTATTTGACTGGCCCCAACGGCCAGTCCAGAAAGGCGACATCCTCAACATTAATTAGCCCAAGTTGTGGCGCTTAAAGGGACTTTCCAGCAGGTCTGACGTGGATGTTCTTTGCGAGCGCGTCCTTTTGAACACACAGATGGGTGAGAAAAAACCTTTGTGGGGCTACTATTAAACGGAAACCAAAGTAACATCGAAGCAGGCTTTTTTTTGGGGGGGTCCGACCTAAAAACGACACGCTTCGATGGCACCGATCGGTTTCGTCGCCTGTGCCGTCCATGGCGAAGTCCTGCGGAGCGCTCAGCGCCACAAAGGACCAGTCCAGCACGTAGTCGCTGTGGAGGAAGGCGTGGCCTCGAAACGACCCGAGCCGCTTGAAAAGGTTGATCGCAGCCGGAAACCATGTGGATCATAGTCAAAACCACGGATTAGAATTGCCTACCCAGAGCCAATCAAGAAGGCAGCCGCTACCAGGGCATCCCAGGGTGCGCTGCCATTGTGCCACAGCCTCTGATGACAACAGTGTCCATTGCTCAGGTTTCATCTCAATGTTGGCTCTCAAGGCGGCGTCGGTCAATCACCCTGTCTTTGCCTGGGTTCGTCAGGGTGAAGTTGTGCGATCTTGCTTTTTCTACGACATGCAAATCCAATGAAAGCCCTGCGCTTGCGCAGGACAGACCGTGTTGCACCCCACTACCCCTCGGTTTGCTTCCTGTTTGATGGGGAGCGCTTTGGAAGAGTTTTTCTACGACTCGAAAACCGGTCAAGCGGCAAATCCAAATGGAGATTGAAATACTCTCCTGGGACCAAGTTTGTGTCCGAAATCTGTCAAAAGAACAGCGTTTACATTTTGAGATCCGCGGGAAGGCCTCTGACAGTTCAAGCAATGAACATATTAATTGAAAAACGATAGATGAGTTTGGTCAATCCCAACCCTTGTTATCAAATATTACAACTGCTTGTTACCCAAGAGAAACTCTGCCGTAATGTGTTTTAGAGGATGGACATGTTGATCCACTTGTCAATACGAAAAGGTGAAGCATCAAATTCCAGGCTTCTCTCGCACCAAAGCCTGCCCCCCGTTCAACATCACCCGACCCAAAGGAAACACTTTCAATCAAATGGCGAGGTCTGCACGGGGCAAATATGTGACATGTTGGGCTCCTAGCAGGGGCCAACTGATTCATGCCGATTGGGTTCGAGATTCTTTGCCTTTCAAAAACATCCAAAAGGGAAACCACACACTCTTAGGACTCCAAATGGATTCGTCTCCTAGTTTCGCCCTTGAAAAAATCACGTCCCCAAAAGGTACCAGCAACAATGAGCTGGTGCAGAGGAGCGGCCAATTTGTTTCAAAGGGTTTTCGACCCTTTCTGGGGTTCCATCCGGAAAATCGCCATGGCTGTGGGAAACCTCCGCTACATCCCCAAGCTGACTTCCAATGACCTCCATTTGATGAAGTCCCCAAAGTAAAAAATAAAATAAAATAAGCTCGGGCGATATCCCCAACAGCACCACACCCCAGAATCCTCGCGGAACGCCCCGGGACCATCCTTACCGCCGGTGTTGCTGAGGATGCCGCCTTGTAAAGCAAAGCTACGAGTGACAGCGCAATCTCGCCCTGATCGGGGCCCGACGTCGGGGCCCGATCGGGGCCCGACGGCGCAATCGGGGCCGATCGGCCCGACGGTGCAATTGGGGCCCGATCGGGGCCCGACGGTGCAATCGGGCCCCGATCGTCCCGTGGTGCAACCCCAGCCACCCATATTATAGCTCAACGCCGTTTTCCCTTAGCATGCGGATTGCAACTGTATCTATAGCAAAACTAGGCAATACCAGCTTGGTACAATTGACATCGGGACCCGACTGAGTCGGGCCCCGATCGGGGATCGGGGCCCGACGGCGCAATCGGGGCCCGATCGGGGCCCGACGGCGCAATCGGGGCCCGTCGGGGCCCGATCGGGGCCCGACGGTAATCGGGCCCGATCGGGGCCCGACGGTGCAATCCCACCCATATTATAGCTCAACGCCGGTTTTCCTTAGTATGCGGATTGCAACTGTATCTATAGCAAAACTAGGCGATGCCAGCTTGGTACAATTGACCGGGACCGGGCCCGACTGAGTCGGGCCCGATCGGGGCGCGATGGCGGAATCGGCCCAAACGGTGCAATCGGGCGGGCCCCGACAGTGCAATCGGGCTCCGAACCTCGCAAACCGTTCTCACGCAACTTTCGTGGAGCTCAGCGTGAAACTTTGCTGGAACCTTTCCTCAGGGCTGCCCCATAGCTTTTGCAGAATTTGGTGGAAACCTTCTGACCTCATAGCCCTCGCAGCCTCGTGGAATTCTTGGAACCCAAAGCCCACCAAGCAGCAATGCCAAGCATTTACTCTGCTGCACCGTGAGTTCCGCAGCGACGTGATCTGATTTGCCACAAAGCCAACCTGAACTGGCAATTGTTCATGTTTTTAAAGTTTTTTTTTGCATTTTGCATTTTTCCAGTTTTTCGCGGGCATTTGTTGCTCGATTTATGTCGCTGAGGTTGACTTTAGAGAAGTTAATTGTTTGGGTTTCAAGTTGTTTTTCGGTGGGAAGGGGGGGGGGCAGGACGGGACAATAATAATGCGCCTGTGTGCCCATTGTTGCGAAAGGCTTGATTCCTGCAGCATCGTTTTTCGCTGGCTGCTCGCCTTCGGAGAGTCGGAACGGAATTGTTTTTTTCATCTCGTTTGTTGTTTGAGGGCTCGGTGGCTTGCCCCGCCCCACCCCCCCTCCTCCCAAGCCCATCAATGATTGACGTTGTTGCGTTTGCTTGCGCGGGTTCGGTGGCTTGCCCCGCCCGGCCCCCTTAAACAAATCCTTTCGCTGGTTTTGGCGGCATGCCCCATCCAGCAATAGGGTGCCCAGCTCCCCCTTCCTCCAAAGTGAAGCCCGCCAACGATTGAAGTTGTTGCATGTGCTTGTGCTTGCGGGTTCGGTGGCTTGCCCCGCCCGGCCCCTACGCCTTCTGCAAGCAAGAGGGAAGGCGTCTCAGGGCAAAAGAGTCTCACAGGAAAGCTGTGAGCTGACGAACGGACATGCGTGATGCGACGCAAGAGCCGCCCAAGTCGTATGTTTCTTGCGGATCATTTTTTTCAAGCGGATAGATGTGTTTTTGCAGAGCAGATGTGCTTGTTGCGGTGTGCGCTTGCGGGTTCGGTGGCTTGCCCCGCCCGGATCATTTTTTTCAAGCGGATAGATGTGTTTTTGCAGAGCAGATATGCTTGTTGCGGTGTGCGCTTGCGGGTTCGGTGGCTTGCCCCGCCCGGCGCCCACAATGACTTACGCTGGTTTCGGTGGCATGCCCCATCCAGCAGTAAGGATTCAGAAGGGGCGCTTCTGAAACCGCCCTTTTCCGGAAGCGTTCTCAGAAAGGCTTTCGTGTGTAAGGGCGGCTCGAAAAACAAGACTTTCGTGGGAAGTCTGCCTGCAAGCTGCGGGCGCGCGCATTGTTACTACCAGACTTTTAGTGGGGCCTGGCCCCACGCCAAATCTGGACTAGTGACCTTAAAGTTTTCCTGATTGTGCGGTTACACAGACTCAATGGCGACAGCTCAGAAGGCAGTTGTTTTCTATTGCTTCCAAGGTTTGGTCACTGCGGCCCGCTTGCAAAACCATCCGTGCTTGGCAAGTCAAGACGCGCTGTGTTCGCTTGGCGGCTCTTAGACAAGTTAGCAGGCGCGGCCGTGTTTTGGTGGCTTGCCCCATCACTGGCGTGAAAGCTGCAGCCATGTCGATTGCGCTCGTTGCTGGCGTCATCGTAGGTTTCTTCATGGGCGTGGTTGTGCCAATTGGCGGGAAGGGCCTCAAAGGCGGCAGCGCGGCGGGCAAGGGTCAGACTGACGAGCAAGGCAGCCGCAGCAGCGACGGCGTTGGCGGCTTACCTCAGCCTGGAAAATAGTCTTCACATGAATGTCGTGCGGCAGTACCTCTTCGGCCGCTTGTGGGCACACATGCAGAGCCCAAGCAGTCAGTACTACGCTGCAGAGCTGCACGACGCTCTGCAGGCCGGTGCTTTGTTTTATGCACAGACGCAGTGTTTATTCTGCTGCTTTAATATTTCAAGCCAGTCTGAAACCAAGTGGTCTCGCCGTGCCTGCCAACCACGACGCAGGCGGACAGCGGTGACAGCAACTTGACGAGGGGCAAGGCCGGAGGAAAAGCGCCGCCGGTGAGCAAAGCCAGGCTGGGCAGCTTGGCCCAGTGCCTTGTCCTGCCAAGAACGGGGGGCCGCCGAACAGTGGCTCGGCGCTGGTCGACCTGGTGGAGAACATGCTGAAAGCTGCGCCGCCTGCTCCAGGCGCCGGACCAGCCCCCAAGCAGGGCAGACGAGTCAAGGCTAAGGCTGCCGCGCCGCCGGCCACTGAAGACCCAGCCGAGGAAGAGGAGGACGACCCCACGGACAGGGAGCCCAACTGAGCCGCAACGCTGGGCTTTTGCGCGCTCTGCCGCGTAAGTTTGTGAGTTTGGTAACCATGATGTGGCTCAGGCGGCGTGCCCCGGCCCGCGTTGGTGGCTTGCCCCAGCACATTGGATTTGTGTCGGCGGCGTGCCCCCGCTGCTGCTGCAGAGAGATGTCAAACGCAGATCGAACGGTGCTTAAAACATGCGGCCAGCCAAGGACATTGAACCAGGACGTCCGGCGTCATGAAGTGCTGAGGATCAAGGGTTGCCGAGAGACAGTCCGGTCACGTCCATCCAGTTTCCCACATGACACGTACGCTCGCCCGATCAGCTTGGTCCGCGGAAAAAAACTTAAGTTTTTTTCCACAGACCCCATTTGTCCAGAGGGTCTCCGGTTTCCATAAGTTGTCTCCACAAACCACAGCGCTGCGGACCGTCGAGTGGACTACAATTCTTGGATTTCGGGGAACGCAAAATTCCCGGTGTTCGAACGTTTCTAGTTCTTTGGACAGTCCACAGCGCTGCGGCTTGTTGAGTCGACCTTCGGATTCCAGAGGCCCTCTGGACAGGAACTTCGTGCGTAAACTTAAGTTTTTTTCCGCAAGCGCCCTCTGGACAGAGCTCTGGCCCAAGCTGCCCGGAATGTCCGCGCAGAGCGCATGGGCCCGCTTTGGCAGGCGGTGGACCGAGCAGTTCCCGTGGCTGGAGGCTGTGCAGTGGGACACAGGCGACTTCTCCGTCAGCTGTGCTGCCTGCAAAGCTGCTGGGCATGTGTCAGCGGAGTTTCGAACCATTGCTTCATTGCAGGTCAGCCACTTCCGAGACCATGAGAAAACCAAAAGGCACCAGGCCGCAGCATCAAATGAAGACATCCGACTGCGTCTGATGGCCCCATCTCTCGAAGAGTTCATCGCAGTTCTGCGAGCTACACGCAAGGGAAAAGATGGCGGTGATGATGGGATTGCCTGGTCCGGCGGCAAGATCCTTCGCCGCCGAGCCCAGAAGCTCAAGTTTTGCTTGGCCGAGTCGCTGCGGGCTCGCACGCGACAAACGCTCAACGCTGCCTCCTGCGTCGCTGTGCGCTCGGACTGCTCAAAGACGATCCTTGTCTTGCGAGGGCAAACGTGCGCAGAGGATTTGCGTCCTCAGCACATGCTTCTGGGCGCACGGAAGCTTCATGACTTCTCTAATCGGAGTTGCCACGGCTGTTGTGCATTTGCTTCATGATTTGGCCACCCCTTTTGCTGGTGCAGAAGAATTCAAGGACTGCCTGAAGCCAACTGTGCCAGCTCAGGTGGCTTGTCCCAGCTGTGGACGCAGTTGCGTTTCAGCAGTGGCTTGGGCGGGTTGAGGTGTTCAACGCCGACGCAGCAGCCGACGAGCAGCTGGCGGGACAGCTCTTGTCGTCGGAGCACGAAGCTTTTGCTCAGCTATACTGCGATTTGGCAGACATGGACACGGGCACGCTGCAAGTCTTTCCGAACCTGAAGCTTGTAAACAAAGACAAGCCCCACGCAGCCCGCAGGACCCTTTTTTTGTTTGTGGCCACGGCCTAGCTCCACCAAGGTTTGAAAAAGGCTGGCCAGTTGCTGCGTGTCCAGAGCTTCCCTTCCAACGGGTGGAGCTTTTTTCTTTTTTGATAGGCAGGCGTCTAAATGCGTTTGACCACAGAACTTTACAGTCTGACAGTGGCTTCTTAAGGGCCGACATTGCTCAAGATCCACTTCCTCACGGCGAGCTGTGTGGCACTTGTTCTTCACGTCCTTCTTGGCTCTGCACTTCTTGTAGGAGCAAAGCTGCTTCACTGCGCTGCCTTTTTTGCGAGCAGGCCCCCGTGCCATTGGTAGACTTTCTCACGCTATTTCCCTTCTACGGGCAGCTCAACATGTCAGAGCCGAAATTTCAAAAAACCAAACAAGACTTGCAGGCAGACTTCCCACGAAAGTCTTGTTTTTCGAGTCGCCCTTACACACGAAAGCCTTTCTGAGAACGCTTCCGGAAAAGGGCGGTTTCAGAAGCGCCCCTTCTGAATCCTTACTGCTGGATGGGGCATGCCACCGAAACCAGCGTAAGTCATTGTGGGCGCCGGGCGGGGCAAGCCACCGAACCCGCAAGCGCACACCGCAACAAGCATATCTGCTCTGCAAAAACACATCTATCCGCTTGAAAAAAATGATCCGGGCGGGGCAAGCCACCGAACCCGCAAGCGCACACCGCAACAAGCACATCTGCTCTGCAAAAACACATCTATCCGCTTGAAAAAAATGATCCGCAAGAAACATACGACTTGGGCGGCTCTTGCGTCGCATCACGCATGTCCGTTCGTCAGCTCACAGCTTTCCTGTGAGACTCTTTTGCCCTGAGACGCCTTCCCTCTTGCTTGCAGAAGGCGTAGGGGCCGGGCGGGGCAAGCCACCGAACCCGCAAGCACAAGCACATGCAACAACTTCAATCGTTGGCGGGCTTCACTTTGGAGGAAGGGGGAGCTGGGCACCCTATTGCTGGATGGGGCATGCCGCCAAAACCAGCGAAAGGATTTGTTTAAGGGGGCCGGGCGGGGCAAGCCACCGAACCCGCGCAAGCAAACGCAACAACGTCAATCATTGATGGGCTTGGGAGGAGGGGGGGTGGGGCGGGGCAAGCCACCGAGCCCTCAAACAACAAACGAGATGAAAAAAGATAATTCCGTTCCGACTCTCCGAAGGCGAGCAGCCAGCGAAAAACGATGCTGCAGGAATCAAGCCTTTCGCAACAATGGGCACACAGGCGCATTATTATTGTCCCGTCCTGCCCCCCCCCCTTCCCACCGAAAAACAACTTGAAACCCAAACAATTAACTTCTCTAAAGTCAACCTCAGCGACATAAATCGAGCAACAAATGCCCGCGAAAAACTGGAAAAATGCAAAATGCAAAAAAAAACTTTAAAAACATGAACAATTGCCAGTTCAGCAACATTTGCCTGAGCAAGTGAGCAAGTCACAAAACAGTGAAAGTGTGCTAAAAACCATTGATTTTAGTTTTGCTTAGTGTTCCGCCCATGAGCAAAGCGATCTTGATCCGATGGCTTTTCAGACGACGGGCGCGCGACACACCCTTCATGGAGCATTGTGGAGCCTTGTGGAACCCGTGTGGAATCCTTGCAGAGCTTTGTGGAACCCTGTGAAACCTCAGGCCCACAGCCCTCGCAGAATCTTGTGGAACCCTGAAACCCTCATACAACCTTACCTCAAACCACCCCGGACCACCCCGCAGCCCTCGCAGAACCTCGTGGGACCCTGCTAGAACCGTGCTGGCATGGAACCTTACCTGTGAAATTCTGGTGGAATTCTCATGGAACATTACCTCAAACCAGCCCGGACCGCTGGTGGAACCCTGGTGAAACCCTGGTGGAACCCTCGTGGAACCTTCCCCGGACCACGCCGCACCCTCGAAGAAATTGGTGGAACCCCGACGGGCTGGTGGAACCCTGGTGGAAACCTGGTGGACCTCGGACCACCCTGCAGCTCGCAGAACCTAGTGAAACCCTGGCGGAATTCTGGTGGAAATCTGGTGGAACCCTCGTGGAACCTTCCTCAAACCAGACCACCCCAGCCCTCGAAGAAATTGCTGGAACCCTGGTGGAACCTTGGTGCAACCCTCGTGGAACCTTACCTCAAACCACCCAGACCACCCCGCAGCCTGGAACCCTGGTGGAACCCTGGCGGAACCCTCGTGAAACCTTCCCCAAACCCGCAGCCCTCGAAGAAATTGGTGGAACCCTGGTGGAACCCTCGTGGAACCTTACCTCAAACCACCCCAGACCACCCCGCCCTTGCAGAAATTGGTGGAATTCTGGTGGAACCCTGGTGAAACCCTCTGGTGGAACCCTGGTGGAACCCTGGTGGAACCCTGGTGGAACCCTGGTGGAACCTCTGGTGGAACCCTGGTGGAACCTTAGCTCAGGGTCGCCCCGAATCACCCCGGAGCCTATCTGGGCTGAGACCCCAAAGCTTTCAGCTGTTGGGGAAAAATGTATAGCAGTGATCGATTCCCTTTAAAACCAGGGACAAAAAACAAGAACTATGATATTCAGCAAATGGAAGATGACTAATTTTGAGCTTGAAGGAGGCCCAAGAACCAACTCCTTTTCCACATTCCCAAAAGAACTTGTTTCCCTAACAGGACCTGTTTCCACACCTCTGAAATCCTGCGACCGAGGCAAATCCAAAGGGTGTGGGTCAAGAATAGGCACCGGTTGCCCTGGTAAATTGGAACCAAGGACAAAACCTGCGGTCCAATTCCTGGTTTTTCATTGTGACCCAGGGCCAGGAAACTCTCCGCCGGCAGCGCTTTCACCTTCAGAGGCTCCAGATATCTCGCCCGCGCCAGCGCCAAATGGATCACCTCGGCCGGCGGTCTTCGCGGGTGGCGCGGTTTAGTTTTTGCTCGTTCCCCCTACACCCAATACCCACTTCTTCCAGGCTACGATGTCGACCCTCTACTAAAAAAGAGGTATTTTCCTTGGAAAACCGGTTCCCCAAAAAAACCCTGAAAAAAACGGGCATTTGGAGCACCTTTTGGGACCTTTACGAAAAGTGGTTGCCAAAGAGGGAAAACCAAAAGGTCAGATCCGGTCAATTCGCTTTGGTTGCAACTGATAATCACATGTTGCGTGCTTGACCCCGTTCGGGCGACAAACATCGTGCCTAGGAGGCTGATCCTTTGGTCCGAGGAAAGGCCAGTCCTGTGGGGCGACCCTAAACCACTCGGCTTTCGGTATTTTTCACTTCGCTCGCAGAACCCTCTGCAAACTTTCCGGACATCAGCATTCGGAGCTTCGTGTCCACCACTTTTGAGGGTCCAAGTTTCTACACTCCTGGCGTTATATCGCAAAGATCGTCTGATTCGGCCCAAGTTCGCGGATGCTTGGCTGATGGATTCCCAACTGAAGAATTGGTGATAGCGAATTACTGGGAAACAACCGCCCTACATCCTGGCTCCTCCCTACTCATGGTTGTTTACAGCAATTGTTGGGATTCTGTGAGCCTGTGATTGACATGCCAAGGCACAGGTCTCAAGCAAGAAGGAAGCCAACATCCGCCATGACATGTTGAACAAGATGCACGAGTCAAACAGGTACGCAGGACTAAGTTTCTTTCGTATTTGTGCTAGAAAGCGACTGGTGATGGCCCTTCCAACCCCCTCCATGGAGACTGTTCATTTAAGACACGCTCCGTCCGCTTGCCGGTTCTATGAAACACTGGCATTCCAGGCTGGAATCCCCCAGAGAGCGTAAGACGTTCCAACCAAGGTTTCGTTGCCAAATTCGGCTTTGTCGCAAACTTGGAGAGCTGCAAAACTCGGAAACGGCAATCCAGGTGTCCTTCCAGGGGTACCTTCCCCATTCCTTCCAGGGATCCGAATCTTTCTAGAAAATCTCCAGAAACCCAGGGAAAACGGATCCGGCTTTTGAAAGGAACGATGATCGAAACGAATGGACAAGGAATCAACCCCTAGAAATACCTCTTTTTCGTTTGGGTGTCCGACCTGAAAAAAAAACACCCATTTGTTTATGCAAGTGGCAAAAAAACCCTTACCTCCACCTATGGGAATCAACCCCCGACCCCTCTCGGCCCTCTCAGGGCCGTAACCAAAGCTCCGCTCTATGAAGGGGCCCTGGGCGCCCGGCCAGGTACGGAAGACTATCCTCAGCGCCGCGCCCGACATTGGGACAGACGGTGGGTGTGGTCAAAGTTGGCAACCCCAAAATGGCTTGACTAGGTCCTCCAGGGTGGAGGAAACAAGGAAAAACCGAAAAATCTGAGGGCTTTTGTATTACACCCTGGGAATACAGCCACTGGGTATTGACCCCATTTAGGCACATCTCCGGAGAAATCCGTGTTATTTTGAACCATTCTGGGTCATTTCCCAAGGGTGTAATCCCAGGGTGTAATGCAAAAACCCTTAGACAAAAGCAAAACTGAAGCCATTCTTTTTTGTGGGCGGGGCTCGCTTGAAGCCACACACGCAGATGAACACGGCACCCCACTAAACCCACACCAAAAAAAACTAGGTCCTCCAGTGGAGAGGGCAGAATAAGGGTACCCACTGTTTTCTGTAGTCTATTTTAGTAGGGGAACCCTGCCCCAAAAAAGGGGTGAGAAAGGGCACTACTGGGGGACCTAGTTGAACCCTGGCAAGTGGGAAACAAGGAGTAAAACCTGCGGTCCATATCCCGGTTCCTTTTTTGACCCAGATGCCCAGATGCCCATCCATGGGAGACAAAAGGGGCATCCTTTTTTGGTTGAGCTTAATGGAACCACTGCGGAATCCGCTGGGCAACTGGGCCAAGATTGGCAGCACGCCTTTCTCTCAGTTTAGCCCAACCAACATCCAAAAGAAGCATTTTCTGGCCCAAGCAGAGCACCCATTCCCCCATGCAAGCGCGAGGTGCCTGCAGAGCCGGGTGGATGTATTCGCTGGCCTGGGCTCCCGCTTGCAGCTCTGCGCAGTATTGGAGGAAGCCTGCGGCGCACGGAGCTCAGAGCTCGGATCGCGCGCTGTTCGGTGCGCGGTGTTGCGCGGTGTTTCCGTCTGGCGGAGCCCCTTTAAACCCAGCCCAAAAAAGGGTAGCCTCCGAAAAACAAATCCGGCCATGAAGTTGAATGGGTGTGCCTTGAAATAGGACTTGGACCCACAAAATGGCTTTTCGTTCTGGCCCTTTGGTTTCCTTTTGGAGCGCCCCAAAAAAGGGTACCGAGCCTCCAAACAGAACGCTGCATTTGGGAAATGCTGATTCACTCAAGCACTGGCACGGCCCTGTCCACACCGTCGTATCGCTGCCACACCGATGCCCAAACCCGGGCATACTTAAATGGGACCCCGAATTGAAAGACTATAGGGCTGTTTGTTAACCTTTGCAAGAGCGTTCCTGCCCTCGGCAATAAAATGACCGCATGGGCAAGCTCGTTATAACTTGAACAAATGGGTCTTCGATACTCCAATCATGATTGAATGTGATTTTCAAGCACCTCACAACCACATCCTTGTGATTTCGGCCCTTGTAGTATTTGGGTATGTCAAAATAGAGGGACCCGCAAAATTGGTGGTTTCCTTTTGGTATCCATTTTAGAACCACCCAGAGAAAGGGTACCCTCGAAAAACATCCCTACGGAGAGAACAACTGGCCCGCACTTTTGGCCGGCAGCACGCAGCTTCCTAGGGGCTTATGCCGAACCCTTGCGCTGTTCAGGAGGTCTTACCTGTGGAGTGCTTTGCAGGTCACTTGCACGAGTGACCGGATCAAAAAAAAATGTCTCCCCAAAGCTGATTCGCACGGACTAAGTCAAAGAAGAAAGGAACAAGCGCACAGCGGCTTAAATTGTCTTGAGTTCTTGCGCAGCTGCATCACGGAGAGCATCTAGCTGGATCGCAGGGCACTTCCAAAGGCAAAGGATGAAGACGTGTACTGTGCTCAGCCAAAGTAACGGAACATGGGTTAATGTGCAATCAGAGTGCGAACGCCCTTTCAGGTCGAAATCACGAAATCCGGTCTTCCATGCGCGCAGCCACAAAACCTAGATCGACCCACGAAGTTCATGCAAAAAACCGGGTCTTAACAAAGACGATCCTCTTGAAATAGCCAGAATCTATGAGGGGTTCTCACACCTAAAACGATTTCCCCCTCACCAACTTAAGGTGGCTGACTCATGGTTGCCACGTTGAGACCTCCAAACACCTCCGTGGTTTTGGTTTTGCTTGAAACCAGCCTGAAAAGGCTTGTTGGGTGTGGTTCTGTTTATTGAGGGTACGGTTGGGTGGTTTGTAAAGGGAAACTGAAAATAACACCAAGTTGTGCTCTTTTTTTTGGGGGTGCAACCTTGAAACACCACACCCATTTGTTTATACAAGTGGTATAAACTTAAACCCCCCATACCTCAACCTATGGGAAGTTCCCCGCTGCGGCGCCACATGCCTGCGGCACAACATGCGTGCCTATAAAAGAAAGACACGGCTGTTCATTTTCAGATCCCCTGCTAAAAGTGCTTAACCTTTCGTGGGTTTAGTGGAAGCTCCCCACTAAACCGACAAAAAACAACTACCTGGAGTCTCCATGACCCTTCAAAAATGGGTCAATGACCCCATTATTTGGGGTACGGTCATGGAGACTCCAGGCAAACATACCATTTAAAAAACAAAACACAAAAAACTGTCAGGAACCCGACAAGCATCTCAAAACCTCGCAGGAACCCAAAAGACATCTCAAAACCTTCCAGGAACCCGAAAAACGTATCCCCACACCCGTCAACCCGGCTGGTTCCAAGACACCCCGCCCCCCCCAAGGCCCGCCTCGCTGCGCCGCGGTTCGCAGCTCCCGGCGCCAGGCGCTCGCCGCCGCGCAGCCCCTTGGCGCGGCGATGGCCTCGAGCTCTCCGAGCTCCGAGCGCGGACCTACCGCCCGTCCGGGGATCTCCATGGAGAGTTTTTAGGGTTTTTGTGTTTCTTCTTTTTTTTTTGTGTTGTTTTTTCCCCCGGGTTCCTGGGAGTTGTTTTTTTGGTCTCAATTGAGGTGTGTGTACCTGGGGTCTCCTTCTGACCTGTAAAAAATGGGGACATTACCTAAAATAATGGGGTCATCGACCCATTTTAAAGGGTCATGGAGACTCCAGGTCCATGGGGAACCCCACCCCCCGTTTTGGTTGTATGATGGAATCCAAAGAAAAGGCCCCTTTTTTGGGACCTCCTCCATCTTAGGGTCAGCTGAACTTGGTTGCTTTCTGCTCCTGCAGAGAAAGTGGGCTAACTGTTAGTGGTTTAATACGGAAATCCCATTGGTTGGCAAAAAAAAGAAGTCCTAACATCCAGGCAAAATGCACCAAAGTGAATAGTACTCAGAACTAAGGGATCGATAGGCCATGTTTTCACAGTTTGTATTGGTACTGAAAGTCAAAATCAAGCAAGCTTTTCCCCTTTTGGTCCACATGAGATTTCTGCTCTCATCCCTTTGGTTGTATGATGGACACAAGTCACGGGCCCATTTTGTAACCTCCTCCATCTTGGGGTATTGTCTTTTTTTTCAAGGTTCGGATGCTTGTGTTTTCTTTGGGTGCAGCAGTGGTCATTGGAAGCCCCGTACGGAATATTGGTCAACCCCCTGGTATGTTCAAAAGGCTTCCCCCTTTTTTTGTTCCAGCCTCTTTTGGACACTGAACGGGTCCATTTTGCAATCTGTTTGATTTAGGGTCTTTGTTTTTTGTTAGGGGTCCGGTTTGAATCCCAGGGTACAAATGTTGCTCAAAATCTATCAGCTGGGGCAAACCGCAGGTTCTAGTCTGGTTGCCCTGTGCCGAGGTACCATTTTGGGAAAAACTTGTTTGGAGCCACAGCTG